GTAGCTGTAATGTTGAATTGAAGATGTGCCAAAGTTATTGGAGATAAAAAGATGGCTGTCTTGATCATTGCTGGCAGACCCCTAAGCCTTAATGGATTGTAGAAGAATGGAGGTTCTCTTGCGATTTGTAATTCGTAGACAAGTCCAGCATCAAGATGCGGGATGTAGACAGGAAGATGATTAATATTTATCGTGAACCTGGGAGAACCATTTGTGATAAAAATTGTTTGTTCCTTGTGCTCTTTTAAAAGGGAGACAATATTGTCATCTTCAACTTTTGCCTTAATAATATCTTGAATGTCTTGAGGCAAATTGTTTAGTTTGGACCATAACTGCTCTCTGTTAAGCCGTTCCGTACAAATATCTTGCCGAATGTATTCTGGTATTCCGAGGATTTGAAACATCTCATGAGATGTTAGTGTAATTTTATTGGAATAGGGATAGAGATAATTAATCTCATACGAAAGATCTATGAATCTTTCTTTCAGCTGGTTGTTCTGTTTAAGAAATTTCTCATCCTTTTCTTTTAAAAGGTTGACTAGATGAGTCATATGAACTCTGATTTGTCGTTTTTCTTGATCGCAAATGCTGTTCCACAGATTATTAACAAGCATATAATCAGGATATTTTAATCCTGGATCATAAAAGTATTTGGTCCTTTTTGAAGGAGATGCTGGAGCTAAGCAATGAGATTTTCCTTTAGCTTGTAATATTAAAGCCTGATGAGTCATCTTTTTCCTGCAAAAAGTTCGAAAATGTATGTTTGAAATTAATATTTCATTGAAATAGCGGAAGAATAATTCTAATTGTTTCCAATGTTCTTCAAAATTTTTTGAAAAGAGAATTATCACAGTAGGTAACAAGATGATAAATTCTCTACATTCATGAAGATATTGTTCTAAAAATTTTAAATATTTTTGTTGAAAGTAAGTATAGCCTGGCGGCCTCCTCCTCCTCCAAGTATAGAAAGAAAAAGGCAGGATGAGAACAGTTTTCCATCGATTTTTTTCTAGGATCTGCATTTGTCAAAAACCCATCTTGATGTAAAACTTTGAGAAAACTCTACCATGTATAATATTTTCAATTTGATATTCTGGTACTTGATAATTAACCCAGACCAAATTATTTGAGTTCTTGTAATCAATAATTTGACTAGCAACTCCATGTTCAGAGTCAGGGTCCGAGCAGCATGTGTCATAATCAACTTTTATTAAATTGTCTTTGATAAGTATTTCAATTTCTTCTCTGCAGGCGGCCAGAAGATCATCATTCAAACGTACTGGTATGTCAAAATATCTGTTATCATAAGGAATACGAGAAAATTCTTTAATATATGAAAGACGAATATACCTTTTGTTATTAAGAATTTTTGTGTTAAAAGAGTCTGGGCACTCTTTGTCTTCGGTATTAGAAAGAACATTTATGAATTTCTCTTTAAATTGTAAGGCAGAAAATAGGTCATTAACTAACATATCCTCTGGTTCCTTATTAAACCAAAAGGAGATATTAGGGTCTCTAGCCTGTGTATGTATCCCATGAGAATCGACAATAAAAGGCTTAAGATTATTGATAAAAGGAGTTCCTAGAATAATACCTTGCTTGAGGTCTTTGAATAGAACAAAAGAGGTTTTAATTTCTTGACCATCATTGCAAATGTAAGCATTGGTGAGTTTATATCTGGCTTTGAGAGACTGTCCATTTGCAGCACTAACAAGATGAGATGTTTTCTCATAAAACCTTAGAGGAATAAGATCTTCTCTGATGCAATTTACATCTGCTCCAGTGTCAATAAGAGCTGTGTGTTGGACAGAGTATTCGTCCATAATGTTAAGAGTGATATTACATTTCCATTTTTTCTCGACATATTTTTCTATAGAATTTATAAATTCATCAGAATCTTCCTCATGTTCAAAGCTTTTTATATTTTTGAAACTATCAGATGCT